GATTGTACAAAAAGAAAAGAATTTACAGGCACAAAAAAATCCGTGTCGAAATTGCACGAGAAATGGAACCAAAATGTAGAAACAATTGGAAGCTGCATAGAGAGAGTGAGAGAGAGAGAGAGAGAGAGAGAGAGAGCGTGGAAATTCTATACCTAAAATCCAGCTGCAATAATTGCACGCGTGGAAGTGAATAGAATGTTCTGTCGAATCGAAAAGGACAATCGTTTTCGACAACTGTTAACCGATTTATTTTCTTCTGTTTCAGGATGAGAAGAATCAAATATTGACGACGAACGCGTGGCTCAAGTTGGTGAGTAGATCGACAATATAATTGATCAAAAGAAACTTGAATTAACAAATCAGCAGATACGGTTGAAAAATTGTGAACAAAAAATATTAACAAATTACGTAAATTGTAATAAATTACGATGGACTTGTTTGTATCCGGTTGCCGCAAAAGTAATCCCGGTTTCTTTGTAGTCCGTCGATAAGCCGAATCCGTTTGGAAAACCAAAATTACTTTTACCTATTCTGGAAAAACGAAATTACTTTTATCTATCTGGAAAAGCGAAATTACTTTTGCAACGACACAATAATAAAAAAAACTACAGCGCACTGCGAACGCTATTCCGGTAACTCGCGCTGCGATTGGTCGATGTTTCTCTCGTTGACAAAGTCGCCGGAAGCGCTTTTGCCAAAAGATAAATTCGCGTGTGCACCCTGGAGTCCTAGGGTGAAGAGAATTGATCACGGATTCGCCGATCCGATTGTTTTCTTTCATCGCGAAACAACGAATTCTTTTATCGCGAGCGAAAAATCTTGATCGACGGAATTAATTCGCTCGTAATTTGAATCGGCACGAAACCCCTCTCCCCTCCGTCGGAGTACATATTTCGAAAATGTTGCTCCTCCTTCGTCGGCCATAATTTTCGCTAATTGCTGTGCTCGTGCCCGTTTCGGTCGCGGAACCTTCGTAAAACAGCGTCTCCGCTGTTGGTGTGACCTACTGCGGCCGGCAATAATTTCGCCGGAAGAAACGTTAAAAGCTCGGCGTCGCATTCGCGCATTAATTACATTTGTGTGTCTCGCGGTGCTTATTCCGAAACGGTGTCGCGAGTCCGGGGATTCTTGGCGGTCGCGGGGGAAAAAAGGAAGAAAAGAAGAAAGAAAGAAAAAAAGAAGAAAATCGCTCCGCCGCGTCGATCCGCGTTTTTTGTTTTCTCCCCCTCCTCCATCCGTGCAACTTGGAATCAGTCACGATCGGTTTCGCGTTCGCGGCGACAACGGAAGTTTCATTTGTCGCGTCCCGGATCAAGTCGAGATTTCAATTCCGCGAAAATGTGAACGGCGCCCCGCCGCGGACACCCTGACCGACGCGTGGCGAGTACCGTTTTTCCATCTTTATGCAAATGCCGGATTCCGCGGTGCAGACTGTAACCAAAAAAAAAAGGAAAAAAGAAGGAGAACGGAGAAAAATGTTGCCGCGACTAAACAGAATCGATTTTTCATTTACATCGCGCCTCGTCGGCCGCGGCCGACCGCGACCGGCGAAGCGGAAACGCGGGAGCGTCGGGCGTTGGTTCCTCCCGTATCGGTTCCCGGCCACAGTTTTCTTCGCCGCCCCGTCGAGAAGGTGTTCCGCGTTGCTGGATCGATTAGGTGGGAAAATGAAAGCTGTTACTTTTTCTCGGCGTTCGGCGCCGTCCTTTTGTTCCAAGTGGATGCAATTCCCGGGATAGGACGCGGCCGTGTTTCTTGGCGGCGTGCGGCGTACACGCGCCGACAAAAGTATTTCGGACAGCTGCTCGTTGCTCGGCGATTGTACGTTGCAATATTGGTATAGTATAGTATAGTATAGTATAGTAGTATATATAGTAAAATAGTATACTGTTGCTAATTACGGGCTGAAACAATCGTCGATCTTCGAACGGCTGTAACACCGTTAAAAATCGTCATAAAGTTATAACTTTTTTTTCAAATTAAAGCTCGAAGTCTCTACTTTACGACACCGTATTTCAATTTCTAACATCGCGCGTCCCAATGGCCGTAGTATTCTAAAACCAACGCCTTGCTCGTGATACAAAGTGCACAAAAGTGCCAAGTTTAACGCCGTCCATGGACCCGGACAAATTTTTCTCGAGAATGCCGTTCGAAGCATCGTAAAGCTCGAACTTTCCTCTTTCGTTCGAGGGCAGAATCGAGTCGCTGCGATTTTTTCTCGCAAAGATTTCCGAGTCCATAGAGGCCGCTAAACTGGGCGCATTTTCGGTGTCGCGAACATACCCTTGCATTCGGGATACCACAGCTCTTTGGGGATGCGCGATATCAAAAATTCGAGTACAGTGTCGTAAAGTAGAGATTTCGAGCTTTAATTTGCGAGGAGAGTCACAATTTTACGAATTTTGCCTCCGAATTGCCTTCGAATCGTGTCGTGTGGCCTCCGAATCGCCTTCGAATTGGCACGTGGCCTCCGAATTGCCTTCGAATCGTGGCATGTGGCCTCCGAATTGCCTCCGAATCGTGGCAAGTGGCCTCCGAATTGCCTTCGAATAGTGTCACGTAGCCTCCGAATTGCCTTCGAATCGTGGCAAAAAATTAGAAATAAAACAGTTAAGTCATCGATTTTATTTCAACGTGACTATGTATTCATATAATATACAATAATATAATAATAATAATAATAGTAATAATAATAATAATAATAATAATAATATAATATATAATATATATGATATATAATTATACATATATGACATTACACAAAATTACAAGAACATACCAAAACATCAATATCACAACATACAAAATGATATAAAAAAGATCATAAATTCCGCTCGTCAGCAATCGCCGCAGCACCCCCACAGTAACCGGTCCCGCCACCCTAAACAGCAATAGCATCGCATCGCGGGCGCGTTCGTCTCTTCGAACGGCACGAACCGTGCACGCCGTGAAAAGAAATTTTCGCTCCTAATTGTCCCAGGATTTTGGATGGAAGTTCGCGACAAAGATTCAAGTCTGCGGCTGACAAGTCGCAGGACGACGTTTCGCCGGAACGAAACGAAACGAAACGAAACGAAACGGATCGTCGCGGCGCAGTCTGGCAGCTCGCTGCGAGTAAACTTGCATTACCCGACGGAAACGCGTTTTTCGCGACGTCGCGCCGCGCCGCGCCGCGCCGCCTTTAGAGAACAGCGACGCGGCGCGACGCCGCGCGACGCGGCATATCCGTCGGAAATGTTTCTAAGGGGCCGATGATAAATAATGCATAGTGTCGCGGAGCCTCTGAGAGCCTCCGTAGATATGTAAATAAATTTCCGAGCGCTGCTCGCGTATCAGTGGAGGAGCGAGACGTCAGCGACACGCGCGCCCGACTCGGCCCTCCCTCGCCCCTCGCCCCTCGCCCTTCGCCCTTTGCTCCTCGCCCCCCGCAAGGACCCCGTTGCCATTCCTAGCAGGCAGCGAGACGTCAGGAAACGTAGCCGGGGCCTTTTCATCTCGGTCGAACCGTGGCAACAGAAAGATACAGGAGTGCATCGTTCTGCCATCTCGATTTTCTCGGATCCTCTTCAACCCGGCAGCCACCCGTACCCTTTTACCATGTTTTCCCTCTTACCAATCATGTCTGGCAGCCGCCCCCGCCCGGTCCCCCGCGTCCCGGCACTCGCATCGCGCGCGCGAAAGAAAATGCGAGAAGAGTGATTGGACTTCGCGAAGTCGAGCGCGATGCACGCGCCGTGGCTCCGTTATGCGCCGGAACCGGCGCCCGGCTCGATCGCGGATTCTTATTCGATGCTCCAGACATCAATCCTGCCGATCCCCCGGCTCCCGAACCTCGTCGAATCTCGTCGACGGCCGAGCGACAGGTTGTTCCGCCGCCTGAGAATCCGTTCGGACGCGAAAGCTCGCGCGCTTCGAGACGCTTTATCGCGCGGAACTCGGGATCCCGAACACCTCCCGTAAAGACTTGAGTGGTTCTAGTTTGGAACATTCGAAAGAGCGGTTCTTTTACTAGAAGGTTGCATAGTTTGGTCAGATTTTTTACGAGTATGCTATTTAGATCGATCATCCAAGAGACTGTGGGATCATAAATCTGAGGGTATGTTTTTGATAACGAAAAAGTGCGGAGTTTGGCGCCCTCTATGGACTTGGATAAATTTTTCTCGAGAATGCCGTTTAGATCGTCGTAAAGTTTGGACTTTCTTCTTTAATTTGAGGGAAGATTCGAGTCGCTGCGATTTTTTTTCGCGAAGTTACAGCGCCTTAAAGTAAGCCTTGCATTGTCGACGAATAACACCGCGAGAAATCATCGTAGAATTCAGGGGTTACTTCAAGCTGCTGTAACTTTGCGAGAAAAAATCGCAGTCGAGTCTCTCTTTTTTTAAATTAAAGAGGAAGGATCGGAGTTTATTATGCTGTAAACGGTATTTCCGAAAAAAATTTTACAAAGTCCATGCGTTTCGTCGAACTTGGCAATTTTCAATAGAACAAACATGGCCTCGCATTTTAAGGATCACAGTGGCGAGGGTGCATCGAACTTAAAATCCATAAATACTGTCTTAGAGTAGAGGTTTCAAACTTTAATTTAAAAAAAACAATCATCATCCTAGGTCTATTTTTCGCGGAGTTATCGTCGGTCAAAGTTGGCCAATCTCGATTCTGTATTCTCTGAAGGGCATTAACCGGACTCGACCTTGGAAACGCGTTTCTTACGCTGTCTATAGACTCGGACAAATTTTCTACGAGCATGCCGTTCAGATCATCGTAAAGTTCGAACTTTCCCCTTCAATTTCAGAGCAGACTGAAGTCGCAGCGATTTTTTCTCGCGAAGTTACAGCCCTTTAAAGTAACCCTTGCATTTCTGTGGATAACTCCGCCTAAAAGTCGTCTTAGAATGCAAGGGTTACTTGGAAGTGTTGTAACTTCGCAAGCAAAAATCGCAACCGTGTTTCTTTTTCCGCAAATTAAAGAGAAAAGATCGAACTTCGTTTCGCTCTAAACGGCATCTCCGGAAAAAATTTTCTAAAGCCTGTGCATTTCGTCAAACTTGTCAAAAATAAGTAAAAAGTTCGTCAATGTGGCAAACATGACCTTACATATAAATCGTTACAGCGGCCAGGGTGCATCGAACTTAAAATCCATAAATACGGTCTGAAAGTAGAGGTTTCAAGCTTTGACTTAAAAATATAGTCATCATCCTAGGATCATTTTTCGCGGAGTTATCGTCAATCACAGTTGGCCAATTTTTATCAAGAATGACGAACATGGAAATTTTGCATTCTCCCATTTAAATTGTTACAGAAGCGAGAGTGC